GATCTCAAGAGGCTGCGTATTAAGGCAAAGGAGGACCAGGGACATAAAATAAATACATTTTAAATCCACAACTGACACAGGAGGAAGGCAACGCCAAGAAGTAATAAACTGCTTTCCTCTGAAAAGGCTAGTGCAAAGATGTGAAATTGCTGAGATGAGAGATCAGAAACCTAAAATGTAGATATGAGAGGCTGCATGAAAGTCTTTAATAAGGCCAGGACTTACACACTCACAGATTAGCAACAAGGCCAGCTCCAAAATTTGGCCTGCCCTGTAAGGTGAGAATGCAAGCTGGGCATGATCAGCATTACTCAATCCTGTGGGCAAACATTGCTGTGTGTTGGGCAAGGTACAAGTCACAACAGAGCCCTGCTAGAAGCACCGTTAGGAGGCCTCATGGTGGCTGATTCTTGTGGTTAGCTATTTATTAATAGTTAATAATATAAAACTAATGTATAATTAATAGTCCTTTGAAAGCTAGATGTTTCCTCCTGTTTTACTTCTTCCTCTGCTCTTTCTTTATGTGTCTTGAGTCATCTGCACCAGAAGAATTACTGTAGCACTGCTAGCATAGGTTAATTTGGACGTGTGATAAAGCATAAGAGTTTCTTTGAAAAATACAATATAACAATAAAACTGATGTCAGAAACACAAAAATATTTATGTGAAATTGCCAAGCTGGCAGCTTTCACAATGATTCCTTGTATAAAGCACAGGCATATCTATGCCTATGATATGGATATTAATAAGCTCCCATACATGTTTTCCTGTTCGTTTTGCAGTTCATTGCAGAACGGAATGTCATTTTTCTCCTAAGGTTTGGAGGTGCAAAGAGAAAACATTTTGGAATTACTCCATTTCATGCCACTCTGTTGCTATTGGCTCATCTTTCTCTCTCCCCACACTCCAACGGGTGTTCCCACTAAAAATAGGCAGGACCAATGCCCTTTCCACTGCTGCTTTCTGCGTTGCCGGTGCTTGACCAGAGCCAGCCACCCCGTTGGCTCTGAGGTGGGTATCTCATACCAAACAGCCCTCACACAAAGGTCTTTGAAGTCAGTAGAAAATATCACATCGATTTCTGTGGATTTGGGGATCAAAGGGCGTAATCAGGCAACCTGCTGAAAGCACATGTGCTGCAGCAACAGGCTTTACTCCACGCTATGGACTTTACTCAAGCAAAGCTGGTACTGAGGTGAGAAGACGACCTTGCACGAAGGGGGCCTTGAGAGGCACGTTAGGATGGCCCACAGCACAAAGCATATTCAGCGTGGCTGGTGACGTCTGCCTGTAACAAGTGACTCACTGCACTATTTTTTGATTCAGCAACAGGAGAAAGAAATGTGATATGAGCCTCCACACCTCCAAGGAGAACTATTAAAAGAGCAGAAGACATTCTGGAGATGCTCAACATACCACTGTCTCCATCGTGCTCTTAGCATGGGTGGTTGCTTGCAAAGGATGGTGGGCTGCATAATTTTCTGCCTTATACTGCCATTTTGGTGCCTAATGTAGCTCTAAAGAATCATCACATGGAAATGACTCAGTTTTAAAGTTTTCAACAAAGGTTTTTTGACACTTGCATCTGTCAGCCCTCTTTCCTCACATACTGAGCTTTAATGCAGATGGCATCAAATATAAGAGGTTTCCTAGCTGGCTCTTCCAGTATAAAGCTGAGAAGCTGATCAATCCCATCTGAAGTGGCAGGGGTGGGGGAAGGTGCCTGTATTTAACCTGTATTTAACCAGGCAGGAGGCCTGGGTGGGGGCAAGGTGGGCTGGTGCCTGTCTCTGCTTGTGGAGAGGTTGAGTGCCAAGGGATGATGTTTCTTTCTTCATGTTGCCATCCTTGGCACAAAGCTGTGTCCTCATTTTCATCTAATGCATTTTCTCAACAGAGGGAGTGACCAGTGCTGAACACAACTGTCTATCGGAAGACGTGTACATGGCAGTTGCTGGTTTATGTTCCTGTGCCTTTGCTTGGTTTTTGTACATTTGTTACTTTCAGTGGCTATCTGTTTATTATTTTGCCTTTGTAAGCATTATTCTGCTGGGAAGAGGCACAGTGTATAAATAGCACTGTTGTTGTGTTGTTACTAGTCATTTTGCTCAGTTATTCTTAAACAGAGTAAAGGATGCACAAAGATTGCATCCTAAGGCAATGAGGGTAATAAGACCCTGCCCTCAGCAAGTATCAAATCAGGCCCCCCATGTCAAACCCTGGGCCTGTAAATCCAGTTGAGTTTTGCCAGGGAGTTGATTAGTACCAGGATTTTCCTTTTAGGGTTTGGTACTCTGAGGTCAAGTTGCTGAGCAGCTGACTCAGGTAGCACCTGATGCAGCTTTTGCTGCAAGAATGAAGCTGTTCCCACCTTTGGGTTAAATGTCTACCCCTCCTCTCTGTTAGTTCCTGGGTGCCCCTGAGTCAGGGGCTCTGCCTTTCCCCCAAGGATACCTCTAAGCACCCTCTGTTTGCCACTGGGTGCTTGCACCTAGGAGGGTGTAGGCTATGCCACAAAGCTGCTGCTTTTGCCCTTCACTTCTACCAGCTCTGACCTTCTCTTCTACCTTGTGAGTAAAATCTTCTCTTAGTCTCTTTTCTATGCCCTGACAATATGCAGTGGGTATGGGGTTTGCCTCTATGCTGTGATATTGGAGAGACTGGAGTGGTTATGTCTGGGTTTGAGGTGACTTAGCCCTGTTTGTCAAGCTCCTGTTAGCCGTGGGTGAGCATGTTTGAGTAGCAGGGACATCCTCCCCCTGGCTCAGCTGGATTTTTTAAGTGCTGCTTTAAAACTGGCAAGCTAATTAATATGCCTCTGATGGAGGAGGTGGGGGGAAGCAGAGGATTGGCAAGATGAGTAGGAAGAAGATTGGTTCATTCTTCTAGCAAAGTGTATAATTTTGTTGGAGCTGGTAGTGCCATGAGACCAACTCTGTTCTATGAAAGAGTAGCAAGTTTTGACTTGAGTGCTCTGGTTGTCCAAAGGAGTAGTTTTAACTTTAGAAACATCTCCATAGGAAATAGCCACTGTACTCTTAAAAACACTCTTTTATCAGGTATTGTCTGGACATCCACATATGAAATCTTCACATTTAAAAATTCTGCTTTATTAAATTGTTCTTTGCTATAAAAATTTTTGATGGAGAAGATAACTTAGTCCGTAGGACTCTTTTGTCGGTGCAAAGCTGTAGCTGTTATTTCTTTATCTTTTTTTTTGGTTTTCTTTTCTTGTCTCCCCCCCCGACTCTTTCATTGACCTTTCATTTTCATAGAGCCTGTGTTCTTGAGAAGTTTGCTTAAGAAACAAGTGAAACAAAAAAGAAAAGCCTCTTCCACAGCATGTCAAAATCAGAACTCTTAAAGAACAATTTTACTTTTCAAGATGTTGCAACAGCATCATGAGCATTACTTTGTCGAGTCTACTTTGCACATTTTATGTACATCTCACTGAAGAGAAACTGCTATCTTTGTTACGTGGAAATCAAGCTTTGATATGTAGGTTTCTTTGAAAGCTTCATCTTAAGTAGAAACTTAACACCTGTTCCTATGTTCTTTGCTTTGCTTCTCTGTTTTGAAAGTTACACAGGAAACAAAACCAAATCCATCCTCCCAGTCTGCATTTTTCTCTTCTTCCTCAATTGGGAATAGATTATTAAACCAGACAGTAAAATCCACACTATGTCCTCTTCCTGCAGGACATAGCACTGAAGTGTCATGTTTCTGCCAGCCTGTGGACGCTCAGAAACATGCTCTGTCTTCAGAGTGGTGGCTGCTTCTTGAGGAGGACCTGATCCTGTGTGTGGTGTGGTGATGGTGATGTGACACACTGGGCTCCAAATATGTCTCATTGGCGTGGTTGTGTCCTACCATTTTAAAGGTAGTTTCAGTGATGTCTTGTAATACCAAATAACCCCTTGAAGAAACAGGGTATAGATATGAGGCTCTGTCTGCTCATGCCCCTCATTTGGGCTTGGCCTTAGGCAGGTCCATATGTGGGACCACAGTGGAACTATAAACCTTCTTGGGTCTCTGAATGTTTCCGTCTATATGGACTGCAGGAGATCCTTTGCTGCCTCCTTCTGATGATTTCTGCTGCAAAAGGTCTTTGTATAACAACTAGTAGTGTTAGTATGTGGACAAATCCTCTGTCAGAGATGGCTAATACATGTCCTGCCTATTTCTGCCTCTTCTGCACAATCCAAGAGTCCTTTAGGAGATAATAGGGGTGAACTTCTTGAACCTCCCAATAGCCTCTGCCTATTGGGCAGGGGTGACAATCCTGCTCTGGACTGTTGCCACCAAAATGCCCTTTGTATCTTTCCTTCATTTAAAATGTCATACTTACCCTACAAAGGTCTTGTGTGACACACATTTGCAGTCAGACAGTTATTACAGCCTTGTTAAATATTTCCACAAGTAGGAAAAAATACAATTTCTTACTATAGTAATAATCTTATGCTGACTTATTGTGAAGGGAGCTAGTGTGTCCACAGAAAAATCTACCATCTTGCATTTACCAAATATTACAAAATTTGTTATAAAATTTACACCACTGCAACACTTTGTTTTCTCATTCCATATTATTTAGCAATCACTGGTTTTCACGTTGACTCACAAACTATTCCAAAGCATGTAGAATTTAATTGATTTTTTTTTTTACTGACTTTAAAAGACTGGATGCAGTTCAGAGAATGTAATACTAAATAAAATGGAATGCAAGAACTCTTATCTCAACTTCTGAAGATGCAACAAGCACTGATCAGTATTAGTTGAAAGGTTTGAGTTGATCCTTAATGAGATTCAAGGAGAAAGATCTTAATTTTTGAAGCTTAAGGATTGACTATAGCTCATTCAGTGCACAACTGCGATATTATGCATTATTCTGACATAAAGAAGTGTTTATTTAGAGGTATTCTTCCTTAGATAAGGCTTCAATGCCTTAAATAACTTTTAGGAATACTTTATGCTGTTATTCAGCCTCAGTGAAATAACTTTCAGCATTTGCAAATTAGTATGCAAACACAGACTATCCTCTAGGAGATAAAAACAAAAAATAAAAAAACACAGTTCACCTGCAAGACTCAGTGGGAAGGCTCTCTCCACAGAGCTTTGAATTGCTGGATGAATAACTTCACATCTTAGTATTTTGGAGGCTTTTTTGCTCATGCAAAATCTTAATTCACTTTGATTGCAGTTTTAATAGCTTGGTTGGTTTCAGATAGTTCTGTCCAGTCTTTATACCACACAACTAAAAAAGTCTCCATTAGAAAGATGCTGCAGTAGAATATTTCTAGGACAATAAACCAAGAGAAATTTTATAAAAAAGAAAACTGCAGCAGAATGAAAAGTGTTAACCTATTTTCTTTTGACTCCTCAGCACCTGTTTTAGTAACATACTGTGCATGGATACATACGTACATATTGAACACACCATAAGGAAATGTGTCCTTCATAAAAGGAATTAAGCACTTGTCTTAGGTGGACTACTTTGAGCGCACTGACCTAGATACTTTAGTTTGTTGAAGTAAAATATTGTTACTTGTTTTGCTGCAAAATTAAGTTAAAGAGAAATCGCACTCTACAGCTCTACATAAACTGAGAAGTAAGCCTCAGACAAAATGTATGGTACAGAATAATTAAATCTACCCATTAGGGTAGATGACTGGTTATTGTTCTTGTTTGAATATTGAAAATGCAGTAGAAAGTTAAATATAGCCACAGTTATTTATATTAATATACATTAAAAGGTGTAATACCAATATATTAAAATATTCAGAAAATGAACTGTATCAGTCCATGGTTACGGGGAGAACCTCAGAGTGATTAGAGAACACTAAGTGTTTCTTAAACTTCTATTAGCAACACATAAATATTTGACAGTATAAGTGCATGGAAAGGAGCACTGCACAGAGCTTAAACTGGCTGAACCTGCTAAGGATGTTGAGTTCTAACACAATCACGCATAGAACATTCAAGCCCCTAAAGAGCACGGATACCTGTGACAGTCAAGGTAGTGTTCAGAAGGATGCTGTCAGTTGATGATCTGTGCTTCACAACACATTTCCACTGTCCTGCAAAGATGGCTGCACTCTTAATTTGCTGGTTTTAGATGTGCCATCGTTGTATTTGACAGGCTCCTACACAGATACCTTCTCCTCTCGCAGTAGTAACCTGACTGTCCTTGAAATATTAATCCACTTGATGCCAACTGAACATGGATAGTAATTTTTTGACTGCACCTCAAGGTCGTCTTGTGTCTTCCTATCGGAACTTTATTTGGATACAGGCAGACGGATGGCTGAGCTGAACAGAAATAAGCATCAGTGAGATTGTTCATGGATATTTCCTGCTAGTCATATGCACACATATTGGCTGAATATTGGATAAGTAAAATAGTGACATGTATGTAAGAGCTGTTAAATTATGAAGAATTTAACTGCTTACACTATTTATACGTTGTTTCTGTGTTCTTACCTATGAGAATATATTAAATTTAACATAATACTTGGGTTTATTAAGACATTCATAGCACTGCCTTTCCTCCTCTCTCTCTTTAAAAAATAACTCATAGAAAGTATATTTAGACTGAAAGCTGTAAAACTAAACTAAATAACGTAACACCGAATATAGACAAGTAAACTAAAGGGAAACATCTTCCTTAAACTTAAGACATGTTTTGACCAAAACACTTAAATTCTTCATTTTTTAATTTTCTTTTTTCCCCTGCCTCTACTTTGGCTATCCATTGGTGGTTATTCTTCCCCTGCAGCTTAGACTAGAGTCTAAGGCAAAAAACTCACCACGAATCCAAAATTTTCTGCAAGACACATCTGGGGTGTTTTGCCCCCCCCCTCCCCCCCTCTTTTTTTTTTTTTTAACCTTGAGAATTTGAAAGGGGGGAAAAATGCTATTATCAAATGACTTACCAGCTGTCTCCAAGGAAGTTGTCCCTTGAGCATCATTAGGAGTGACACTTACTGGGCATCTGTACGGTCCTGTTTCCTCCAGCTGTATTTGTGTCAAAAATAGGGCAGCAGTGTCTTTTATTTCACCCTAATGTGTAGTATCCAACTCTAAAAGGATGGTGGCTTCTAGATATAAATGTAAACAGTATTTTTTTTCTGTGGTCTGTATTTTGAGTTTTTAAATACCAAGTGATTTTCATTGTTGCTATCCAGCTGTGGTGTGTACTTGGAGATTAAGCATGGAGATTAAGTATGGAGATATTGTTATACAGGAATAACATCATTGGCTTATTGCTCGCTTGCCCTCTTAGGGTCTCTTCAAAATGCAAAAGGTTATTTTATGAATTAAAAAAAAAAAAAAAAAAGCTTGAAACATCATGGCTTTTATGTTGGCTCTTAAGCGATAATTCAATTTTCAACATCATATTTCATTTTACCACGACTGTTCATCTTCCTCCATTTGATTTGTAAGCTTCTGAAATGGCTTTTGGAAGTGCTCTGTAAACCTTGTCTTAGACTCCCTCTAGTGAAGAGATGTTACACAAGAGGCCATGGGACATCCTTCAGTATTGCCAATGCAATTACTGCCCTGAAGAAGTGATACAACATGCAAGATCTGCACAACCTGTAGTATAGAAGTTGGCTCAGGCATATAAACCAGTTACAGAAATAGCTAGTGTATTTCTGTATCTGTGGAGGTTTCTATACGTACTCTTTATTCTTTCATGGCTGAATAACTCATCCTTACCTGCTAGTGCTGGGTCTGAATTCTTAGTGTGTTACTTTTAAATTGTGTGTGTGATGGAGGGCTGGCTTGCTCCACCATCCTTCTTTTTAGTGTCAGACATAGTAATAGGACTTTTATGCTCCCTAAGACAGTATTAACAGCAATAATAAGCTAGTGGAGGATATGAAATTATATAGTATAGGGAAAAGTGTGCATTGTACACCCACACCATCCAGAACAAAGAAATCCTGACTCTATGAGCAGTCTCCTGGAAGATACTTGTGAGAAACTGTCAATAAAATGCACACTTGCGATAATACAAATTGTTTAGAGTGATCAGGTGGCAGTCACTCAGCATTTCCTCAGGCTGAAAAATCTCCTGGAGTGATGGAAAAGGCACAATGGGTGGACAGCTCAGTTCTGTAGTACTGCTCTACTCCTGCATTTGTTGCTCAAGAATACGCCAGGTTTATCAATTTGGGGATCTCTGGAGGGGAAAAAAAATACCTGCTCTTGCTTATATATACACATGAGGGTATCCAGACTGCTGCTCAGCACAATACTGAATACTATCACGATAAAAAGGTAGTCCTGACAAGTATAGCTTTTAAAGCATTAAAAAAATGCAACTATTTATAACATATTACATACAAAATAAAAATGCTTATACTTTTAGAAATGCAAACAAAAGAAGTTAATAAATTTTACTGTGTTTTCAGAGCTGACTCATGTCTGCCTACCTCTTAATTTCAGTAGGTGGTAGATATTTGAAGATGCATAACAAGAAAGTACTATTCAGGCCAACCTAAATGATAGATCCTAGCATCTACCATCTATCTTTCCTTAAACCCCAAAAGGACACTCTATAGCCTAGAACTGAATTTAACAAAATGTCATCACCATATGTCACATCTTTTTTTACTCAAGGTGTTTTTGCAAAATGCACAAGTTTAATATGGGTGGGTGTAGCATTATACCCCACGGATCTCCTCAAGAGACACATAGCCACAGGCATTCTAGTACCCTGAAATAGCTGGCACCTATCTTCTGGCTTCAAAAGCAGAATCTGTAGGCAAATACAAAGCAACATGTAGCAAAATCTTTTACTAAATATGTGGGTGCTTTACATTTCTCTCCTTTACCTTCACTGGTATTTTTGTTTCAAGTTTGAACAACAGATTTATGTGGTGGTATTGTCAAGAGTTTGTAATGTTGCAGTGGTAGCTTCATTGTTTGTTTTTCTAATTTGATTGAATTTAGAAAATTGAGCATTGGGGGTGTGTATATATATGTGTATATATACACACATGTTTATATATGTGTGTGTGTCTATATATATTTAAAGGACACTTATGCATTTATAAATCAACTGCAGTGAGGCAGCTGGCTAAAGGAAGAACAACAGATGCTTACGTGTTTTTACAAACTTGTTTTTCCCCCCTATTTTTTTCTAGTCATAATGGCCTTAAATGAAAAGCAGAGTAAACCCAGAAGCAGGAGTGTCATTTTAGGCCCTTATTTATCTCTGAAAATGTAAGGTAATCTCTGAAAAAGGTAATAGCTTTCTACTTCCTCATTTGGCTATAAGCTTAGTTTAATAATTTGAAAACTTTAAAAATATCCTGAGAAGTTGGTGCGATGATGGAAACAGGCTTTTAAGTGAACAATATTTTGCAGTCTGCTTTATGGAAGAGAGTACCCAATTAAAAGAAATAATCATCACTGAAAACAACAAATGGATTAACGGGCAACAATTCAAGCTAAGTATTTCATGCATAAGCGTGACTTAGCACACTGCATAACTGCTAAAGCAGGTGTTTCTGACGGTGACAGAAATACGCTTCAAATGTAATTCACAAAAATACATTGTCTTTACTATACTCAGATGTCTGTTTGCAAGGCCCTGAGGAATGGTGTCCTTCTACCATGGAACAGGAGGAGATGGACAGTTGCATAGGCTGGACTTACAGAGCTTATCTTCTGAATACATGACTCAGCCCCTGCTGCCTATGCAAGTATGTAAAGTAGGGAACTATTCATATGAAAGTCTGCAGACAAGCATGAAGCTGTTAACTGGCAATTGCATCTCATATGTTTAGTCATCAAACTCTTTCAATCCATTCAGTAGCAGTTAACTGTCATTGATAACTTAAGTTTGCTCTACATTATATGTAGAACTTTACAATTTGACTGAGTATCTGATAATTGTTGTAGATCTTACCACACAATTTGGAGGTTAATTTTACAAACTAGTAGTATGTATTGTTAAAGTACAAGCTTACTAGTTAAATTAACACTAACAAGAATATTTAGATTCCAGATAGGTGAAAGAAAAATGAGCACTGTTTTATGCTACTGATTAAACCTTTAACTAATAACTTTTGCTAATACTAACTCACAACGAAATGACAAGACAAATTCCTGGCTTCTCCTGAGCAGCTGCCACAGGTTCACCTCTGATGCTTAAGCTGAGTTCAGCACCTAAGACAAAAGAATTTTTTTAGAAAACTGTGGAAGTTTTTCAGGGGGTGAGCTACAGATAAATGGGTTTAAAAAGCATGTAATGACTATTTTGTACAGCAGAAAGGGAGAAAGATTCTTACAATTAAAATGTAACAGATGTTGCACTAAGAATTTGAGCTGGGCAAGCACTTGAGAGCAGATACTGCATTCCACATAATGATATTCATTACAAAATAGTTGTAATATGTAAAGTTATTTGTATTATAGAAATGCCTTCAGACAAAAGCTTTCAGTTCTTTTATTCTCTACAAATATTTGTATCATTTTTCCTGTGTAAACACTTATGTGAGGGACAGGAGACTTCCCCTCAATTTTTCTGTGATGTTGAGTAATTCTCCTGCTGCTTCCCACCTCACTGTGTTCTTAATTATCAGCTTATAACGCCACTGCCAGGATAATGAACTGAGAAACTCAGTTACAAGTGAGAATAATACCCCTTTTAAGTCCATTGGATGTGGCTGTAACTGTATCTGGGCCTCTCAGCAAATGGATACAATTACAGAAAGGTAATTTAGCCTCCAGATAAAGATACTATCAAACTGATCTTAGAACAACAAGAAATGACAAATGGTGGATATATTAATTTGAGAAACCAATTTAGTGTTAACCACTGGGTTAAGACAAAGAAAAAGCAATGGTAGAAAAGTTTAATTGTGGCTTGAGCAGTATAAATACTGCCTAAAAGGAAATGGAGCATGACAATTAACAAGATAAGGAAACGGAATCTATTCTGGCAGTGAATTCTGTTCTGTTGTGCAGAGAACAAGAATATGCTCCGTCCTAACGAAAGAAACAGTAAACATGGAATGAGGATGCCTAGCTGATATTGGTCAAAACTCTCCAGAGTTGAGCAACTTCTTAAATGTCAATACAAAATATTAGTAGCTGCCTCCTACATTTTTTCAATTTGCCTAATGTATGCAAGCCGTATTCTGAAAAGAGCATCTTTCCATAACAGAGGCTTACCTTCATTTCCTTGCCCAAAACCCAACTGATCTGCTTTGACACTGTCAGTAGTTAGCCATGGAATAAGAAGGAAATGCAAAGAATACTTGCCAAGGGGTGCGTGTGTATTAGTTCAGGGCCAGCATTACACAATCAGAACAACCCGTGTTTAAAAATAAACGAATGAGACCTAAACTTTGGGCTTTAGGATACTTTCCATCTGAAATAAATGACAATCGTACAGGTTTTCTACACTAAGAGTAAAACCCACAGAAAAAAAATCAACTCTTGTATGTGGTAGGTGTTTGTTTTCTGTCTTTTTTTGGTAAAATCTTGGTTTATGGTATTAGGGCGTTATTCTGGTTCAATACTAAAATAATATGATCAAGTAGCACCTCTGTTATAGGACACTTCATAAAACTGTATCAACTGCTAAAAGACTAGTAAGTATTAATAGCAAGAACTCTTAATAGTCAAAGAATCATATCTGAAAAGAGCTTTTTAAAACACATGGTGCATTTTGAAAAACCAGGTATTACCACAGGAGAGAGGGTAAGTTGCACAGAAAAGGACAGTGAGTCCTGTTCTGTTTTGCACAATACTTCCATCAACATAAACTTGCTTAACATGCAAAATTTTGAGATCAGCTGGCATCTGATGAAAGAAATAGAGATGAAAGTATTGTCTGGAGCCAGCTGAGTATTCAACTGCCACACAGAATTAATCTTAACAAGGAGGATGGTTCAGATCAATATACCAGAAGTACAACTTTCCTGTTGCAGGCTTACAGTGAAATTCTTAGGCTTCTAAAAACATGAAAAACATTAACTGTTTCACATAATTGTGGGGGTTAGATTTTTAGAAAGTGCAAATTTTCTATGATTAAGCATGCAAAGTTTTGTTTCTATTTGGCCTTAGAGAAGAAAGGGGATGGTAGCGCTGGAAATAGATAACTCTAGTTTACCATGGTTGTCGACAGTTCTCCACTTTGCTGCTCAGCATTTCTGGAAAGAATTTCTGCATAAAGTAAGACCTAATTTGATATTCAGGCCAGCTGCTTCTGAGAAAATAACAACATGCTGAATGGCAACTCTGCCAGGTTTTTGCTGAATCCAGCTGACCAGTTGCTTGGCTGTAAAAACCTTTAGTATTGGTAACTTCTTTCATCTTCTTGCATACAGCCTATGGCCTCACTGCATTTTTCAGTGTTGCATTTGAGAGAAAAATAATTTAAATTAGTGATTCAAACCTGATCAGTATTTAATCTATAACATTCCAAAAGAATTTACAGTTGGGGGAAGAAAGTGGAGAGTTCATGGTTTCACTTATTTTCCTTCTTTTTTTTTTTTTCCCCCTTTACCCTCCCCCGCAAATAATGACTATATAAAGTCGAGGCACAAGTGGTTAAGGGTGAACTTGAACATGATCAGTTCTAGCAGCTGGTTCTTGAACATGTCCCGGTGGTAAAGGCTGTTCACCTCCTGCAGGATGGCTTGGTGCATCCCCAGCTTTGTGTTCCCCAGCTGTAAAACAAGAATAAAACCTCTGTAACTTTATTAAATTAATCTCAAATATGTAAAGTTTCTAAAGGAAAGTTTCTAGTGTAGGGACAATCAGACAAGAATTTCTACTGTTGGCTTGTAAGTAGAATCAAAATTTGTCTTAAGTGGTATGCAATAAAATCAGAGCAAGACCACCCTAAACACTGTGTTATTTTAATAAGCAGAATGTCTTCTTGGATTGTTAATTGTTTCTTTTCTGTGTGAAATATTCTGTTCTCCCTGTTACTGACATAACACAATAGTTATTTGGAGATTATTTTGTTTTTTCTTATATATATATAAATAAATATATATAAAACTTATTTGTGAAACCTTTAATCCAAATAAGGGAAACCTGGAAAAAAAATAACTTGTTCCTCTATTTTATTCTTCATTGGACTCTCAGAAATGAGTATCATAAAATGAGATTAGCCACAGGAAGATCTGAAGTAAATTAAAGACAAAATGAAGTTGTTGTTCAAATTGCATTTTTTATGTTGTTTAGAAAACTGAATGGCTTGCAGGTGGAATTTCAGGGTGTTTAAAGCGGGCTGTAATCACTGACTCTAGCGGTTAAGTTTGAACTCTCTGCTGCTCCTGCAGGAGCATTTAAGAACATTAGTATTCAAAAAGCTGCCAGGATACATCCCAAGGCCTTTTGAGATGGATGTCAAAAACTTCTTGTGCTGTAGCACTGATAAGGTAATTTTAGCCAACAAAGCCATATTTACAAGAGAAAAAAGAAGCTAAGTTAAGATGTATGGGAATAGCAAAGCCCACAGAAAATAAGGACAATGCATGAAGGATAAAAGGATGCTGGCTACCTGTCTGTCTGCCTCGCTCTCAATAAATAAATAAATAAACGAATAAATGCAACAATTTATTATGTCTATCCATATCTTCTGAGGGAGCTGAAGTAACTGGTCTTTTCGACTGCCTAAAGCTAACTTGTGACAAGTCTTGCCCGGTTACTGATAAGCTGGCTACAGAGGACAGAGCTGTTGAAAGCATTTAAATGTGTATATTCTGCAGTCTTAGACTGGGACCACAATTTGGGATTACAATCTGCAGCACGAGAATGGACTGTTGGTTCTGTCTCCATTATCTTAACTACTGATAGCCATGAAGTGATAGAGGAATCAAGCTCAGCTATTGTGTAAATACGCAGGATCAAGAGTGAGGCCCTCCAGCAAGAAGGGAAGGACATTACTATGACTTCACATTCTTGGTACTACTACAAGGCAAACTACTTCTAATCCACTTGCATTTGTGGTGGTAATCTAGGTACAGAACATCAGAGAGGCCTGGTCATTCTTACGTCCTAGTTATTCCCCAGATGCTCAGAAATCCTATATATCCTAGATCTCACCATGTTTAGACTGCCAGGCATAACACTTCCTCCAATGAACTGCAGTTGTCTTCTCTGCTCATCTAATGCCTCAAATTAGGCAAATGCAAACTTTTTTCCTATGGATTTCAAACTAGTGAGATTTCAGAAATCCTTTAGAAAAATTCTGTTCTATCCTATCAAAGGAAGCCTATTGAGCCTTTCAGATATTTTTTTCACGACTTCTACATTGGAGAACTTATTTTAAAGTTTGTATCTACACAGAAAAATACATACGGGGTTGGAATTTCAGTTCTCCAGCTGGTCCTGCAGGAGGATTTCCTTGCTGCAGCTTCTTTTGTTCCATCTGTTTTACAACCTGATTAAAAAAAAATAATAAAAGACCACACTTGAAAAACTTTACTATATCAACTTCAGGTGTGACCTAACTGCTTACACTTAAAAGAAATATAAACACTTGTTAGGCAAAGTTTTTGTTGATGGTCCTGCTGAGAAATATGACTTTCAAATTCCTTTAGCTCCTCCTCAGTGAAGAGCTGCTGTTGATCCAGTGTCTGAAAGAAAATATACAACGTGAATACTTATGCAGGATTGATAATCTATTTTGATTATATTCTCAGTAGAACAGCACTTAGCTGGATTTTATGCTGACACTAGTTGTCTTAAAACCCACAGACCAAAACATCAATTTTGATGAAATTAACCAGATGTGGCACTGTAAAAGTTAAGTCCATCTCGTTTTCAGCAACGAGCAACTGCCTTAAGTTTCTACTATGGATTTGGCGGGGGAGAAGATTCTTCTTGTTACCAAATCAGCTGTTATCTTCCATTTAAAGCAATTCATAACCAAAATGTCCACTTGTTTGAAAGCTATATGCAAATAAGCTCTCCTGTTGCAGACAGTGGCGCAACACTCCTTCTCTTTGTGTGTGAACCACAAAGATTACATCTGATTTAGTCACACGCATACCAAAAGAGAATTCAAAAAGCACGCCAAAGGTCAGAGGCATGCCACTTAGTTTCCTGGTTATACAGTGCTGGTATAGTATAGTATGTGGCACTTGGAACGCACTCTCCTTACCTCCCAGCTATCTGGCTCCAAAAATTCTTTTTTCTCTGTGGCTCTCAGAAACTCTTCTAAAGTTACTAGCCGGTCCTTGTTGACATCCACCTAATCAAAGCAAGAAATTAAACTAAGATACAGGATTTTTTTTTGGTTGAGATGTTATTTAACTTCACTATACAAATGTCTTCAAATGTAGCCATTTCATTTTTAAACAGTCCAATTTTCATAGAATGCCTGCAATATCTTTAATTCTAAAAATTATATACAATGTAACAAAAAATGGAAATAAAAATGGAATCTTCATATTTGACTTAAACTGATGTGCACATCAGTGCTTCCCTTCATTGGAAGAACTACGTGTGACTACAGTCCCAACACTAATAGAAGTATACCTTCCCCCATGCCCCCCCCCCCGCCAACAAAAACAACCATTTTCTGGCAACCATTTTGTAACTGTGAGTGAAGGTAAGCTCTACTGTTGCATAGAGAGGATTTAAAACAGGAAAAGGGTCAGAACCCCATACATGGAAGGGAGGAAATCAGAAGGGAGGAAATCATTTGAGGAAATCAAATGATGTTCAAAACATCATCTTCCTTTTCATCTATCCCTAAGCTGCAAACCTATGAAAACTAAATGCATTCACTGTCACAGGTAAAAGCCTTGAGCTCTCAGACCCTTCTCTGAAAGGGCAAAAGATAGTTACATCAAGGAAAGCATTATCTGCTATGATTCCACACCTCATTTTATCCATTTTACTAGCACAAAGCATCATTTAAGCTTTTTCCTGTTTTATACCAAATTCACAGGAAATGTCTATTAAATCTGAGCGTATTGGCAAAAAGGGAGGCTACAGCACAATTTCTCCTCTGGCAATTAATAAGTAGAATCTAGCACACAGGTGTTTCCATCAGAGTATAGAGATAGGACTTGAGGACTAACTTTATGTGAATCCTAGCACAAGCAAGATTCAGTATGATGGGTCAAGTCCTTCTGCTTGAACAATCCTTCTCATTGGAAGGATTGTACTTTATTAACAGAGCAGGAGTAAGGCAGCTGCATTAAATGTTAGTCTATACCTCATTCATTACATGTTCCCTCATTCTTAGCCTTTCCTCTTCCATTTCAACCATGTCATCTTCTTCATTTTTTGGGTCATAGACTTTTTCCAGCTGAAATTGAAAATTACAAATGTTAGTCTGAAAAAAAGGGATCACCCAATCAAATGAAGGAGCCTATTTGGAATAGTAACAGGAGATATTGTTGACCATACTACTTTTATTCATATATGTGTGTGTATATATGTGTATGTGTCATATTTTCTTTTTTTAGTACTAAAGTTAAACGAGTGACACTTTTATTGTTGTGGATGAAGTTTTAGTCTGTTCATGTGGACTTTTGTAATTCAAAGTTGTGGACATTACAATAAAATTCATATTGATACGCAGTCTCACCCTCAAAGCAGAAAATTTCCGTATGATACCTGGAACAGGGTAAAGAAACCGAAAGCTTCAACTACTTTTTTTTCCTGCTAATACAGTTTTCTATTTTTATAGAAGTGTTAAAGACATATAAAACTTAGCAGACGGCAGGTTGGGAGAGACAGCAGACATCCATATAATCATTTACTGGAAGAGTTTAGGTTTCTAATTTATTTATTTACCTCTTTAGTAAATAGGGCTTCTAATTCTTGCTCATCCAGGAAACCGTCATTATTCACATCTACAAAAAGAAGCATTGAAAATACAAACCAAATAAATACAGAAGGCAATATATCTAATAGTTATCAATGAGTTGAGTTAAATGCCATCATATAGTCTGGCATGGATTAAATACCTTATTTAATGAGATGCTGGTTACATTGCTTACATAGGTCAGTTTTTCTGCTTAAACAGGCATTGACTACCTGGTCCTTAACTGCTGGTTGTGTAAGTCTGGAACAACCTCTCTAGTAGTTCTTGGATAAGTAAATCGAAATAGGTCACAACAGGATTGTATACAATGCCATTGTTAACTTATCAAAACAGTAAGTTTTCTCAAAGTAACAGCTACACTTGCAACAGGACCAACAAAAATCTCTGGAACAAATTTATTAACCAGCAGTACAACCTTTCAAACAGATAACAGAATTCTGCCAAAATCCTTACAAACATGCAGAGCTTACAAAGTGATTACTGTAGAATGGCTTTTGACAATGAATGCAAAGGAGAAAATCCTCGATAACTAATAATCCATCTTTTTTGCTATATTCTAGTCTGAATGTTGTTGTAGTACTTCTGAAGCTAAAAGAGAATCTCTGCTTTGACTGTTGTGATGGAATACTTTTAATTAACTGTTTCAAATCTTGATATACAAAATCCCTAAGGCAAAAGGCTATTTTAGCTATTTCTATTTCAGTAAAATTCACACACACAAACTACTGAAAAAAAATCAGAAAATTATTTTTTAAAATTGCTAGAAAGAGAGATGAAATACAGTCTAATTATTACTTTTAAATGTACTGTAAATTTTAGGTACTTATACATTCATATGCAGAAACAAAAGGTCAGACTCAAGTCAGAGCACTTTGTTCAGCTAAGGCATCTTCTGTAGTTTCAGTCAAGTTTCACACATTGTTCTACCCTTGAGAACCTAAGTGCCAGGCATGTCCTGCTTAAGGGTATCCCATTACACAGCCATGTCAGGATATGAAGTTATGCACTTAGCTCATTGCATTTAAAGACCATTGAGAAAAAAAACAGACAGACATAGTCTTTGTCTCTGGTACTACTTCATCATTTTTAGTTGTAGACTACCCAAATGTAGAAGCAATTTGGGGGGTATTTTGGCTTTGTTTGCTTTTAGGGACTCCTGCAGTTTCTGATGGGGCTTGGTACTTGCATGATTCTTCCAAAGATGAGGTTAGACTCATGCTTATGCACAGAGAAGTGAAAGATGACTTTTCCCATGCCCATTTCTCAGAATTTCCTAGCTCACATTGCATGTGTGCAAAGTTATAAGTACAGATAGCCCTATAAGCATTCTCACTTCCCTGAAGAATCACTATTGATAGCAGGTCAGGGCTATGTGATTTTTTTTTCAGTGTTTAAATAAAATTCTAACATCTACAACTCTTAAATCCAATTTGACACCTTACTGGTGCAATCATTTTACAAGCAACACTGTTTGCCTAAAACTTGCTGAACAAACAGCCTCAGCAGG